CTTTCTCCACCGCTGCAACTCGCTTTCCGTCACATAGTAAGCGCTTTATCCCACGGGGACTGCGAGCTCCGGTGGAAACTCGGCGACAGGCACTTCGGCGGACCCTCTTTGCGTAGCGACGCGTCCTCCTCGGGAGGCTGTGGCCCGTGAACAGGCGACCGGCAGCATTTACGGGACAAACAGTTGTGTCCACGACCTCGGTGGGGACGCGGCTGTGCGGGAGAGATGGCGGAGAAGACAACAGACATAATAAAAGTGCAGAAAACGGACCCTGGTTTATGGCTCCCAGGCCCTCACCCCGCAATTCAGGTCTAAGACTCCCGATGGGCACCGTGGCGCGTCCCCGCCGTCACTTCCCCAGGACGGACTGCGGATCCGCGGGCGCGGCGCGCGGTGCAGCGAGCGCGGGGCCCCGCCGACCCTCCGCGCTCCCCGAGGCCCCGCGCGGGGTCTGCCCACCAAGGCGCCCGCCGCAGCGCACGCTCCCCAGGGCCTGCTGCGGACGGAAGGACGTTGGAAAGCGTTTTGAACAGAAAGAGAACAGAACAGATGAAGGCACCGCGTAGAGTTTAAAAAGCACTTAGGCAGAAATATGTAGGCTTAAATGTCAACATTTCCTTGGAAACAAAGGTGAGAAAGGTGAGTAAAACATCCAAAATTAAGGATGAAATAGTGAGCACACTAGCCTAATAAAATACAAAGCAGAGTAGATGGGAGGAAAAAGGTCATTTTCTTTGGAAAGGTTATTAACATTGACAAGTAACTGTTTATTGAGAAAAAGTGGGAGAGAAGGGGAAACAGCTACTGTTGGAAATAAAAAGGGCAATCAAAACAAATACTAAGACATTAAAAAGGCAAAAATAACTTTCTGTCAAGATACTTGGAAATTTGGATGAAGTGCAAACATTCCAGGAAAATATAACTTATTAAATTTCTTTTAAAAAATCCAGTGTGCAAACTTCTTTTTTATTAAATCATTCTTTATTGTTATCCTATTACAGTTGTTCCCATTTGTCTCCCTTTGCCCACCTCCGCCCATCCCACCCCGACTCCCACAGTCAGTCCGCACCCCATTGTCCAGTCCATGGGTCATTCACACGTGTTCTTTGTCTAGTTCCTTCCCCTTCCTTCCACCCTTCCCCCACCTCCTCCCCTCCGGTTATGTAAAGAATACAATAACTGACATGAAGAATAATTTACAGCGAATTAACAGCAGAGTAGATGAAGCAGAGAATCACATCAGTGATTTGGCACATAAGAAAGAAAAAACATCCAAACAGCAAAAAGAAAAAAAGAATCTAAAACAGTGAGAATAGTATAAAGAGCCCCTGGGACAACTTCAAATGTATCAACGTTCATATCATGGGGGTGCTGAAAGGAGAATAGAGAAAGCAGGAAATTAAAAACCTGTTTGAAAAAAATAATGATGGAAAACGTCCCTAACTTGGTGAAGGGAATAGACATACAAGCCCGTGAAGCACAGAGAGTCCCAAAGAAGAGGAACCCAAAGAGGCCCAGTCTAAGACACGTCATGTTTAAAACGCCAGAGGTTAGTCCTCGCCAAATGGCCCAGTTGGTTGTGGCATCTTCCTGTGCACCACAAGGTTGTGAGTTCAATCCGCAGTCAGGGCACATAATAGGTTGCAGGTTTGATCCTCAGTCAAGGTGCGTATGGAAGGCAACCAATCAATGTTTTTCTTTCACATCAATATTTCTCTCTCTCTATCTCTCCTTCCATCCTTTCTCTCTCTCCCTCCCCTCCCTGTCTTCTCCTCAGTCTCTCTCTAAAATCAATAAAAATATCTTCAGGTGAGGATTCAAAAAAAAAATGCCAGAGGTTAAAGACAAAGAGAGCATCTTAAAAACAGGATGAGACAGACAGTTAGTTTCACACAAGGGAGCTCCCGTAAGACTGTCAGCTGATTTCTCAACAGAAACTTTCCAGGCCAGAAAGGAGTGGCAAGAAGTAATCAAAGTGACCAAAAGCAAGGACCCATAACCAAGACTACTTTACCCAGGCAAGTTATCACTTAGAATTAATGTAAGACAAAGGGCTTCTTAGAACAGAAAATGCTAGAGTTCATCTCCATCAAGCCAGTATTACAAGAAATGTTAAAGAGTGTTTTTTAAGAAGAAGAAGAAAAAAGATAAAAATATGAATAATGAAATGGCAGTAAATACAATGATCGACAATTACTTTAAATGCCAACTGTTTAAATGTTCCAGTCAAATGACATGTGGTGGCTGAGTGGGTAACCAAACCAAGCCTTCCATCTGCTGTCTACAGGAGATAGAGACACACACAGGAGGAAAGCAAAGCGATGGAAAAAGATATTTCACGGAACTGGACATGCAGAGATATGTGGGTGTAGCCATAATTCTACCAGACAAAGTGTAGTTTAAAATAAAGGCTATAACCAGAGACCAGGAAGCACCCAGCAATGCCATGTCCGGGTATTTATCCGAAGAAACCCAAAACACTAGACTGACAGACACGTGCATCCACAGGCTCACTGCCGCATTGCTTACCACAGCCAGCTCATGGGAGCACCTTCAGTGTCCGTCCATAGATGAGCGGGTAAAGAAGCGGGGCATCTGTATACAAAGGAATACGACTCAGCCACAAAACAAGGAAATCTGCAACGGCGTGGAGGGACCTAGAGGACGTCGCAGAATGGAAATGAATCAGATGGAGAGCAACAGATGCCATGTGATCTGACTTGTCCGTGGAACCTGAAAACAAAATAAATGACAAGCAGAATAGAAACAGACTCCTGGATATGGAGAACATTTTGACCATTGCCAGACGGGAGGTGGTTTGGGAGGTGGATGAAAGGTGAAGGGGTATAGAAGTACAAACCGGTCGTTACAGAATAGTCCCGGGAATGCAAATATAGCATAGGGAACATAGTCAATAGTATGGTAATAAATACGTGTCTCTGTGTTGTCCGATGAGTATGAGATATATTGGGATGATCAATTTGTAAGGCATATAATGTCTCACCACTGGGTTGGTTGTACACCTGAAACTAATATAATAATGTGCACCGACTGTAATTGAAAATAAAAATTATTTTTTAAAAAGGATTCTAATGTAGAAGGAGACAATATCATCTACATAAACTACAGTGTCCATGAACTTAAAAGATCTCTTAAATGCATAAATATTCTGCCCTGACCAGTGTGGCTCAGTGGGTTGGGCATCACCCTCAAGGCAAAGGGTCGTGGGTTCGATTTCCGGTCAGATGCCTGAGGGGCTGAGGGTTGGGTCCCCAGTCAGAGTGCCTATGAGAGGCAACCGATGATGTTTCTCATGCATCGATGTTTCCCTCTCTCCCCCTCCCTCCCTTCCCCCTCTCTAAAAATAAATAAAATCTTTCAAAAATAAATGCATACGTATTCTTAGCAATGACACAAGAATGTTCCCTCTGGGTCTTCCTAAAAGGGCCTTGAAGCCCTCACAGCAAACACAGCCTTGAGTTTACAATACTGTTTCTTGCACTGTATGCTGCTGGTCTGTGGCCGAAGCACAGCCCTGCTGGGTAAGAGCAGCTCAGCCAGGAGCAAGCGACGCTGGCGTGGATTCCAGCTCAGAGGGGAGGCAACAGGTGCGCAGGCGCAGAAGTGAGAAATGGTCTCCAGGTAACCCTCCACTAATTTGCTCTCTCACCGAAGGTGTACAGGTTGCCTGCACACTTAAAATCACACAGTTAGAAGGTATCTAGAGTCCTTCTGCTGCCAAATGAGGTCAGATTTGGAGTCGTATAGCCACCTCGAGGGGGACATATTCTCACACTTTCTTCAAGAAGCTGGGAAGCTCACGGACCACGACAGCACATGACAAACAGGAGAAGGGTGACGACAGGCCAGAGCCACGAGGACAAAGCGGTCCAGTTCTGTCAGGGCTCCCATGACGGCAGGATCTGACGTGATCAGCCGAAGTGACAAAAGCCTGAGAACGTTTTTACTCAAATATGACCAAAGTCTTCCCTGGGTCATGAAAAAGTATCAGAGGGGCGCCACGGGATGTTTAATCCTGAGCAATATAATTCCCTTTTGGAAATTCCAGGAGTGGCTAGTTGCACACAGTAGGTCTAGAAAACAATATGCTGAACCCTGGGCCGAGGGGGCAGGGCGGAGTCCGGGCCCCAAACTCCAGCAACGGTTCCTGGCACGTGGCAGTCCCTCCTTTGAGGCGTGTCGGGTGTGCTTGTTAGGTAATATTATTCGCCCTAGTTAAATATCGAGCAACTTCCACCCAAATGCTGTCGGCAATGGCGTCAAACTAGTCACCCTTTCACCCATACTTCAATGCCAAGGCCAACTGTCTCTCCGGGTTCCTTGGGAACTGCCTCATGGCCCTAAGCCACATCCCAACGGTAACTCGCACGTTTCTGTAGGACCTCGGAGGTCCCTGCCTGCTCTCCGGCAGCTGCCCTGCCCTTCCCGGAGCAGAGGGGCCGGCTTCTTCTAACAAGTGGCTCCAGGGAGAGGGGGTCTCAGAGGAGGGAGAAGAGATTTCCTGGGCAGAGCAAGCTGTGGTCACCGCGGAGACGCTACACCCCTCCCCGCAAAAGAAGAGTCCACGGCTGCCTTTGATGATTTCGGGGTCCCCACACCCCGACAGCGAAGCCATTTCTACATCCGGTACCCAGCCACCTGCTTTAATGTGAGGTTATGTTGTAACGTGGGGACCCTGCCCCTGATAAATAAGGAAGAGGCGGAGAAGCGCTTGGGAGGCACGAGAGCGGCAGCCACTGAACCAGTGTACGCCACGCACACCGACAACCAGGACGGTGACGCAGCTACTTCCAGCGCACAGGGGTTCGGGGACAGCCTGCAAAGGGGGGGCGCGTGGGACCGCCGGGCTGTTCTCCCCTCTTTCCAGCCGCGGAGGACTGGAGTCCCCGGGCCCCATCCCCCAGGACCTCGCGGTCTGGGAACATCCCCGGCGCCCCTCCCCCAAAACCCCAGAGCCTGCCTGGAATGCAAGAGGGGAGATGGGGCGCTCGGGCCAGTGGGTCCTGGGAGCTGCACTGCTGGCGATGAGCCCCCGCCCGTCCCTCGCGTGGAACCTGCCGAAGCCGCGGGAGGCCGCCCTGGGCCTTCTGGGCTCCCGCGCTCTGCGGCAGGGCCCCTCAGGGGCCGTTCCTGCTGTCACCGCCACTCCGCCCGCTTCGGTCCCACAGGGCCTCCGACCACTGCACGAAAGTGCGGGATGGGCCTTTGCAGACTGGCAGGCCTGTCCTGGAAGCCGCATGTCCGGGCAACGACCGTTCCTCGCCCCCCATCGTCACGGGAAGCCGCAGTGGCGTGGGCGACTGGAGCCAGGCGGTGCCCGACCTGCCAGGGACAGGGACGCGCCAGGGGGCAGCCGCGGGGGGGAGGAGGGCGGCGCGCCCGGAGAAGGGCTCCTGGACTCAGACTCGGACGGGCTCCCCAAGCCAGACGGTGACTGGAAACCAGCTGAGCCACGCGTGTTTCCCAAAGGACGGCGCCTTGGGTGGGAGGAGGGTCCCTGGGCCACCTCGACCTGAGCGGGCAGAAGGCAGCAGCGTGGTTTTTTTTCCTCTGGGAGTCTCAGACAGACAGGCTTTGAGGCAGAAACCTGCCGTGATTTCAAACTGTATTTCCTTTAAAATACAAGACTCCCTTTCCTTCCCACTGGGCTCTGTCTCCAGAGTTTCCGCCTATTGGCGACCAGTGGTGGGTCCCTGTTGGTTGCTTGGTTACAATCTCCCCCTGTAGCCAGACGGCAGGGAAAACCTCTGACCCTCCCGCCCCTTAATTATATTCGTACCTCAGGAATGCAATCAAACCATCCCTGCACCTTCTCTTACAATGCGTTTTCCATTGTTTTCATCTTTTCCTAAATATTTCCCTCTTTCCTCACGTACTTGCAAAAGAGATGTTCCCACATGTTTTTCCTTCTTTTCTTAATGGCTGAATGAAAAATATTCCATTATGTATTTTATATATAATACTATATATATGGCATTTTCTTTATCCATCTACTGCTGGACACTGAGGTTGTCTCCGTGTCTAAGAGATTATAAATTATGCTGCCGTGAACACGGGGGTTCAAATGTCTCTTCGACGCAGTGATTCTGTTTCCTCTGCATATACTCCCCAAGGTGGGACTGCTGGGTTATGCGAACCTTGAAGGTGTTATTTGGAGCGGAGTAAGTCACAGAAAGACAAATATCGTATGCTCTCACTCGTGTCTGGAGTCTCAATGTAGCCGAACAGCCAGGGGGGCCTACTGCTCGTCGCCCCTGGGCAGCACCCCCAGAGGCAGAGTCCAGTGGAAAGAAAAATGAATTTTTTTATTTAGCATATGCACAGCAGGTTTCTTGGTGGGCCCCTGCCCCTGCCAGAGGGGCACGTAGGTGGCGGGCGGGCAGCTGCTGTGGAGGCTTTTCCACAGCCCTGCTCACAGCGGAGGGGTGCAGGGCTTGCCGCCCAGCGGTGCCACCTCCTGGGACCTGCTGGTCCAAGCCTCCTCCCCACCCTTCTGACCAGCCTAGAGCCCCCAGAGCTCCTGGTCAGGCCCGGAGCACTTGGGGAGGGGTGCAGGGCTTGCTCCCCAGCTGAACCGGAGCCATACAAAATCATAGGAAAAAAGTGACCAGATCAATGGCTGCCACAGGTGGGCAGTGGGGGAATTGGATGAAGGTGGTCAAAAGGTACACATGTCCGCCTGTGAGGTAGAGAAGTCCTGAGAAGGGAAGGCACAACATGCAACCAGAGTTGACACTGCGGGCGGTGTGTTTGGAAGTTGCTAAGATCCTAAAAGTTCTCATCACGAGGAAAAAAGATTTCTTTCTTCTCTTTGTATCTATATGAGGTGATGGATGTTAACTAAACGTATTGCGGTAATTACTTTGCAGTGTACCTGAGTCATTATGTCGTACACCTTACACTTACATCGTGTGGTGTGTCAATTTTATCTCAAAGTCCAAGGACAAAGAGAACTGCCCTCCAGTGCACCCAGTTCTCAAGGGAAAGTAGAAGCAAAAACACAGGCCTGGGGTGTGAGAAAGGAAGCACCACATCCCTCACATCAGCCCCAGACAGAACTAGAAAGATGAGTGGTCTTTCTAGAACCTTCAAAAATTCTGTTTGTTGTGAGGACTCCGGCTCTCCTGGCTCAGACTGTAGCTAACGGTGAGACACACCTTGGCATTGAGATGCAGGAGTGTGGTTGAGGGAGGGGGTCGGCCACCTCCTTGCACGTATAAAAAAGGGTGGAGATTCAACAAACAGGAATGTGACTAGTGCTGAACATCACCTAGGGACCCTTCCTGCTGCTCAGTCTCCTTGTTAGATAGGACACGGGTCTCAAGGTCTGGGCAGTAGTTACTAAATGCTGTTCTTGCTAAATGTTAAAATGTAGCGCAGTATCTGGCAGATGCAGCTGTAAACAGGATGAGCTCGACAGGAACCCAACCAGATAAGGCAGTCAACTGCAAAGAAGAAATCAACATGTAATGAACCAAATAGAAGGACAGGGCGTTGAATGCGAGTTCCGTGTTTCCTGTGTTTCCTTCACTTGCTCGGAGTAAATCAAACCACCTAACGACAATTACGCCTCATTCTTTAACAGAACACCCCAAATGGTCACGCCCACCCAGCACATGCATGTGTACGCACACACTTGTCCTTGCCCCAACACACACACACACACACACACACACACACACACTCCCTCACCACCACTCCCTTCTGAGAAGGTAGGGGTCTTACTCTTTTGCCACTGGTTCTGAGACGGTTGTGTCTGACCCTTCCATTCCAAAGTTAAAAGAAACTCCTCCACCTGAACAGTCTCCTAAGCAAGCACCGAACCCAGTGAGGAATTTCCTGTGGAATTTTGATTGTAAGTGATACCAGTCAAACCAGTAAGTTTTTTGGAAGAAAAATAAGTGATAAAGTTCAAGAATGCTTTTGATTTTCAGTAACAGCCTTTCTTGGCATTCACTGAACTATCTCTAAGTTTTTGTCTCTTCTCTTTATTAAATAATGCACCCTTTAATTTTTTTCCTTGAAAGCCTATCCTAAACAATCTTTTCCGAGTCCCCCTCTCTTTCCAGCAGACGAGCCTCCATTCTAAGTCTTGCGTGCACAATTGCGACCCCACTTGGAGGCTTGGGAAACACGGCAAGGCTTCAAACGGCAGCCCTGGGCTCTGGCAGATGAAGGGGACAGGTGCCCCTGGGGTCACATTCTGCCCCAGGCAGGGAAGTCACCTCTGACTTCCTCTTGCAGACGGGCAACTGAGCGAAACCCCGAGTCACTCGGTGACTCCAGCAGGGCTGTGGGAGCCCAGATCTCGATGACCAGTCGGCCACTGCCACGAATGAGCAGGTCCGGGGACACCTGAGGGTGTAGGCTCTTGTGGAGCAGTCACGCGAGTCCCGTAAGACATGACCCGCAAAAACGAAGGCAACCCTGGCTGCTGTGGCTCGGCTGGTTGGAGCGTGATCCCGTAAACCGAAAGGTCGCAGGCTTGATTCCTGGTCAGCGCGCTTGCCTGGGTTGCAGGTACAGTCCCCAGTCTGGGCGCATATGAAGGGCAGCTCATGGATGTCTCTCTCTCACATCGATGTTTCTCCCTCTCTTTCTTCCTCTCTCTCTGGAATGAAAAGGAAAAAGTGACAGCCGGGTGCGTTCAGCTGTACGATGGCCCCTGATGTCTGCTTGACTGTGGGGTCTCCTCCTCCTAGCGCAACTGAAGGGCTACTTTCTTTGCACACTGAGGGAAAGAATAACACAACAACTGCAAAGTAATTTTATTATATGCCGTCCTGAGTTCAAATAATGCCCTTCTCTCTTTTAAGTCAATGTGCATGCTTGCATTGTTCGGACCTCAGCACACGAGGATTTCACCCGCCAGACATTCAGGAGAACAACCACGTGCTCCGTGAAGGTCATTGGTGAGGTCCCCGAGGAGCATGCTGAAGGCCTCCCCTGAACCTGGGCCTCCCGGATTCGAGTCTTCTATGGTCCCACGTAAACTTTTAAATCGTTTTACAGCCTCAGATGCTCACTGGTTAACAGGACAGCCTACGTTTCTCCTGCCCACTCAACTGCGGACGGATATTTGGCTATTATGAATAATGCTGTCATGAAACGCATGTGTATGAGGTCTGTGTGAACATGCTGCCATTCGTAATTTTCAAAGAAAAGCAAATAAAAATATTTCATGAAAATAAAGATGTTAACCACATGCTTCAAAAACCTGGAAACCATAGGCATTTTCTACAGATAATGTCACTCTTCTGCAGAGCTAAAGGAGGAAGGAGAAAACTGACATCGTGTGCAGAGACCGCACCGGCAGCCTCCGCGAGGACGTCTGGCCAATGGAGCAGTGCATTTTTACTGGTTTGTCTCAACCTGTGAACATCAGTAGAATACACGCCAGTCTTGCATTTCATCTTAAGTCCAAAAGATCTGGCCGCACTGGGTCCAGATCCCTCGCGTGTCTCCGGGACTGCAGCTCGCCGCCAGCCGGGCGCCATCTACGGTGCTGGCCTCTCCCTCACCTTTGCAAAGTCTTTCTCACACTCAGTCAGATTAAGTCCCCCCCCCCCAAGTTTCAGTGAATTTGTCTTTTTAATTCACTGGAGTCACAATGAAAATTTAAAATCCTTCTTCTACCCAGTGGCCCTTCAAAGAGTGAGGTCACAATCTCTCTTTTTTAAAACTCAACTTTATTGGGGGGGTCACTTACATATAATGCTCACATTTTTATCATATGGTTCTATGAATGTATGGTTCATAGAACTATGAAAGTTCTATGAACTTTTTTCCCTGAAAAAACCATGGAAAGCTTCCTGTCTTAACCCCTGGTTGGAAGGTGAAACAAGGAACTTCCTTGCAACAGGTGACTGAGCTGGGACACGCAGGGCGCAGCGCGAGAAGCTGTGAGTTCAGGCTGTGGCGCTTCCTGGGCTGGGAGCGGGGGCAGTGAGGGCCACCCGTCAGCACAGGGCTGCGAGGCTCCAATTATTTATAAAACATGGGCCCTCGGTAATTTATGTGTGGATCAGCTTGTTTGTTTATAATGTAACGAACCCTCCGATACACAAACTCGATCTTTCTCATAATTTCCATTTCCCTATTGTGCCCTGCCCGCCCCATCCTCTGCCTTCTCCTGTCCCCACGGCTCCCCAGTGGCAGTGGCTGCCACTCGGCATCTGTGCTTCCCTTCTTCCTCGTCACAGATAAGTAGGGTAGGTAAGGAGAGATGTGTGCTTAACTCACACGCTTAGTGCAGCTTGTATTTAGTCTTTACGACAATGGTATTATTCTTTGCACAGGTTTCTGGATCTTGAGTTTTCTACTCCTCATTGCTACCAGGACTCGGCAAGGCTGCCACCTGCAGAAGGGGGGGGGGGTTCCACCCCCCTTCATTGCTCTGAAACATCCCATGGTGAGGACACACCACATCGCATGTTCTGGCTCCCACCAGTGGGCACAGAGCACGTGACCAGTTTTTGCTGGATGAACTGTGTCTAGGCACGTCTCCTGGGGCTCACACACAGGAGCTCCCCTAGAGCCTGGGAGTTCAAGTGCGTGAACTCTTGGGAACAGTGTCACACTGCTCACCAAGTGGGTACCCCAGCTCACACTTCCTTGCCCCCCAACCATGGGTCCACTTCTATGGTGTTTGGTAACCCAAACATCTTAATTTTACCAATGAATTGCCTATAAAAATGACCTTATTGTGGCTTTGGTTTTCATTTCCTGATGCATCAGGAAATTGGGGATCACTCCATACATGAACAGGCTAAAAGATTCTCCTCCTTTCAGAGTCGCACGTCATGTCTTTTGCAATTTTTCTATTGGGGTGTCTGACTATTTCTTCTGGATCCATGCAAGTTCTTCATCTTTTTGGCTAAATTCTTTGTCAACTATAAACCACAGTGACCGTTTCCCAGCTGTGACTTGTCTGTCTACTTTCATAAAAGGTGTATTTAGTTGACCAAGGTCAATGTTGGGAAGGTCGGGGGTAGCCATCATGTTTTAAGGAGGAGGGCACATTAAAGGGGAGACCATTCCGTACCCCAAAGACAGAAATGTATGTAAACCATCCATTTAGGTTTTATTTCTGAAGTTGTAGTTTTCATTTCCAGAATTTTCATTTGTGCTTTTCAACCCAGTCCCACTGAACTGTGAACTCCATGAGGATGGGGCTGGGGACCTCACTGGTGGACCCTCAGTGTCCATCCACTCAGGAGCAAACAGCCTGAAGATGCTCCGTGAAAATCACAATTAGGGAGTTGGCACCAGTCCCAAGGTAGATGTGACCGCTCCCTCAGAGTCGAACATGGAGTCCCACGGGTGTGTCACTGGGCCACGCATGTACTGTTGGGTAGACCAGGAGGAAAGGAGAGTGTGGTGGAAACAAGAACTGGGGGCCGGGGCCTGTCTGGGTGCAGCTTATTCATCCCCACAGGTTCGGAGCCCAGAGAACTCCGGGGCACCTGAGGTGGAGCAGCTGCCTGGGACCCAGCGACACCTGGCTCTGGCACTGGGCAGCGGTACAGGTCACGTGTGCGGGAGGCTCCCACCTGCTGGTACAGGGAGGCGAGTGAGGTCCCGGTTGGCCCACCTGGCAATCACTGAGACATGCTTCTCCTTCTTCTAGCTGTCACACCATGGTCCTAGCTGTCAGTCGTGGTCCTAGCTGTCACGTCATCATTCTAGCTGTCATGCTGTGGTTCTCTGGTTGTGCCAGAAAAGCAGAGGGTTTGAGACTATTTCACATTCTACAGAATGAGGCTCTGGAGCTCCTTGAGAGGGAGGCGGGATGAGGCCGTGAGACCAGACTGTTGGCAAAAACGCCGGGAGCGACGGGTCCTGTATCTCCGCTGCGCATCGTCCCAGTCCAAAGTGATGCAATGTTTTACGTCTTCACTTGCCCCACTCCCTTTTCCCTCCACTCCCCACGCTCTTACAACAAAGGCAAACTATTTCCCTGGAGTCTTCCCTGATTGAAGGGCATGACAGTAAACTTGAAATCTTTAAATTGCTCATTCATTTACTGCTTGTACGGAGAGTGTGACTTCCTGCAGAGAGTGGGGGGATTCTTCTATACATTTTATAGAGTTTTGTTACACGAACACAAATACTTAACACACCAATTTGCAATGAGGCATAAACTGGTAGAATGAAAAAAGAACGAAATGAAGCGAGTTTACACCAGAAGTTCTAGAAGGTGTAAAGTGTACACAAGACAAAGACGTTAGTGCAGAAAATAGGGTAAGAAAGATGAACCAAAGGAAGGAAAAGAATCCAGAAAAAATCAGGTTCGTGCATTCAGTTGGGGAGGAGATGTGCTGGCGCCCCCGTGTGGCCGTGCGCAGGGTGCAGCTGCCAGTGGGGACTGCGGGTGGGTGGGGCACCCCTCACTTTGGGCCCCATTTAAAGGGAGCAGTACAGCAAGGGCAGCTAGGGCAGACAGCTGTTTCAGGTGAGGCCTCGCCGGAGACTTTGATAAATTCCCAGGTGCGGGCCAGATAACGCTGTTCTGTGGTTTCAGAAACTCAGATTTCTGCCCAGCAGAGGCCTCAGTGGCGGCTGCGGCTCTGGGGTTTCACCAAGGTGTTCCTGGTTGGAAGCGCTGCTGGGTGGTCATTATATGTTGGAGGGAACAGACTGAGAAGTGCACAGGCTGCTACACAGGTTGTTCTGAATGTTCCTGAAACACCGGTAACAGGTATGGAGAATGGACTCCGAGTGGCCTCTGAAGATTCCGGGCTCTCGCGCACTGCGGGCTCCGAGTGGATGCCGGGATGGGGTGCCGCTCCCTTTGTGGAGCATATGGCTTTCCAGGGCACCATAAAGACCCCAGCGAGATCTGGAACTTGAGGCCGAAGCCTCGGGTGCTCCTCTCAATGCCTACACCGCCGGAGAGCAGGCTGGATATGATGCTGCGGCGTTTTCTAGTGATTTTCCAAAAGCCGCAGAAATTCTTGCAGATATAATACAAAGCAGCACGTTGGGAGAAGCAGAGACTGAGTGCGAGCGTGGAGCCATCCTCAGAGAGATGCAGGGAGGTGAAACCAGTTTCCAAGAAGTTGTTTTTGATTATCTTCATGACACAGCTTATCGAAACCCTGCACTGGGTCGGACAACTTCTAGACTCACCGGCAGTATCAAGCCCACAAATTGCAAGGACTCGGTGGATCGTGTAACTGCAGACTCTAAGGGCCCAGGGCGACACTCTGCGGCTCCGCGAGCTTCCCACGGTGAGCTGCCTGAGTCAGTGGCGTTCCATTCTGGTGACTCTGGGTCCACACACAGAGGAGAAGTGCTCGCTCTGCCTCCCTTACAGGAAGTGAGACTGGCGGGAGAGGTGACAGGATGGCTCCGGCACAGCTTGCCACCGCTGTGAGGCTGTCGGTTGGGCTCGTCCCGGTCGGCCTGGGGTCGAAAGCACACTGGTTGCCCCGGAGCAGGAGTGAATCTGCCAGGCAGGCCCGCCCAGCCCCCTGTCGCACAACTCTGTCACCACTTCCAGCCCTTCCACACTTCCTGCAGAGACACAGGATGGCGGGGGGGGCTCTGCGCGGCTTGTGAACCGGCCACTGTTGCAGACGTGCGACATGTTGTTCCCAAAGAATGGATATGACTCTGCACAAATGTCACCGAAAGGGAAGCTGCACGAGCCAAAAACCTTCTGAAAACAAACATGTTGTTCCCACTCGGTGGCTCCGCTCCAACTTGTGATGACATCGGTGGGCACCTGTCGCGCGGGAATAGAAGAGTTCCCATCCCCGAGCTTGACGCCAGAGCCGGTGCTGTGCGCGCTGAGACAGTTGGGGAAGCGCGGACCGAACGCGCAGAGGAGAGGAGTCCCGTCGGTGCCGCCGCCGCGGAGCTGCTAGCAGCTCTCAACGGCATTCGCAGTAACATGTGCTGGCCTCACGGTTAAAAAGCTAATGCAAGTATTATATTATATGCAACATTATATATACTATAAGGTAAACATATTTATATAGGTAATCTGAATATATATACACATACATTCATCCATACGTAAAGAGTCTGAGGAATCAATTCAACCTATGCCCACAGAGACTGCAGAACTGGAACCCGCCTTCCTGACTACTCGCCCAGCAGACACTAGAGGGCAGCCCTGCCCAATGAGAACTAAGTTCAGAGGCGCCGCTTGCTCCGCAGGCCAAGCATGAATCAAGACAGTTCCTGTAGGCAGCTGGGTTTTGGATGAACTTTCTTTCCCTTTTATTTTCTACGTTTTACAAGATTATGCAATGAAAATATACTGCATGGCCAGGAAAACCGTTACTTAAAAATAGGGCATTTATTCTTCAATTTTCTGCCAAATGGTACAGAAAATTACATATATTTGCCATATGGCAAAATATTCGTTGTTGTATCGTCTCAGCGGAAGGAGTAAGAAGTCCTCTTGGTACTAATCTTTCAACTTCTCAATGGGCTTGACATTTTTCTCCATCAAAACCTGGGGAATACTTTGAGTACGAAACTGAAAGAGTTCTGGGAGTAAAAACAAGATATTCACATCCCTTAGTTCAAGGGCTACGTCCACCAAGGGGTAACAATATTCTCAGCCCCGGGGTCCGATGACTTCAACGTTTAAAAATTCTTATTCTCAAATGCTTGTTTAATCATTCCCTTCTGTTACAGAATACTTCAAGGACAAAAACATGTGGTCATTTAACAAATTACCCTCGAACTTAGCAGCTCAAAGCAGGCATTTTTGTTTTCTCCCTATTCACGGGTCAGACGTTCAGGAGGAGATCAGAGGGGCAGCAGTCGCTTGGGGCTGTGACCCGCTGGGGCTCCGGGCCTGGACAGCAGGGTGGCTCGGTCAGAGGGCTGTTACCGGCCGGCAAGGCGGTCCCGTCCCAGGGCCGTCAGACCCCCTCCCGCGGCGGCCTGGCGCCGCAGCAGGAGCCGGGCCTCTTTCGTGGCCCGACCACCCCCTGCCCACGCAGGAGGCAGAGGCCTCCGGCCCCTCTACGCGCTGCTCACCCCCGGCCGCAACTCCGGCAAGGCCTGATTCTCATTCACCCGCCCCTTCGGGATCCCGAAAGGCCTTCTGCCTTTTACTGAAAAGTACGGCAAAAATTGCCTCCAAGGAGAAGCTTCGGCAGGTTTTGCCATATTGTTCAAACGCAGGGGCGGCAGACCCTTCTTAGTGGTCAGTTGGTGCTGAACGCGTGGCCGCCACTCCGAGTCCCAGTCTGTCCTCAAGCAGGGCTGTGCCACCGCGTCTTGGGGAGGGAGGGGGCGGGGGTGGGGCAGATGGCCTGCTCAGGTTCTTCCTTTCCTTCTAAAAATAAAGAGCCCCCCCCCCCCCGCCCTTCTCTTTGCTTCCTTCTGGACTGTGGCCTGGGCACCATCTCCACCTGGGAGCCCTGTTGGAAGATGACAAAATAGAAGACGGGGTCCCTGGTGGGCAGGGATCGGCTGTGGCAGCCCTCCCAACAGCCCCCACCTGAACTTTTGAGCAAATGCGAAGTAAACCGTCTTAGTTAGGCTGCAGCCACATCAGGTCTCTGTGTTCCAGCTGCCAGGCGGACACACTAGGAAACGAGGGTCCTCTGCTTGTCTGGTAGGTGTCCTGCGTGTCAACGAGGTCACTGGCACAGACGCCACATGGGCAGGAATCCCCAGTGTGGGGCGTGCAAACAGTTGCATTGCGGTAAGCGCGGCTGCAGAGCAGCAGGGCCGAGCTGGGAGACACAACTTCCAGGCTTCGTAGAAAGGGGGCTGCCTGAGCCCACGGGGAGCCGACCTCTAGACAGGAGTTTCCTCCCCTGAGCCCCGATTGGTCCATCTTCAGGCAGATGCGGACTCTAAATCCTCACTGTGTAATTGGTTCAAAAAGTACCTGATTGGTTACAGTGGAGCCGCTCTGATTGGTCCGTGAATACACTTATGGGGCTACTGCTATGCAGGGCCAGTTGGGAAAGCCCCAGTCCTCTTGGTTGAATAGGATTCCAGGAACTCGAATGTAAGGGTTGGCTCCGGGAAGGGACACGGTAAAGGCTTCTCCCCAAAGTGGGGCCGATGTGGGAGGCCCTTGTATAGAAATGGCTGCTGGGCTCTGTTTTTATGTTTGAGCCCCATTAGTCCCCAGGAGCCCTTCTCAACAGGGCCATTCATTCTTGGGGTCAAACGATGAATCTCCTGGGAATGCACGTGAAGAACCTAGCGTCGTGGCTTAGGCAACGGTCGCCAACGCAAATCCCTTCCCTCTCCCTTTGACAGAAAGAGCAAAGGGAACAATAGCACTGGATGGAAATTGACCAGAGGGTGCAGGGCCCCTTGACTTGTCCTGGAGGGTCCCCCACGAACACGAAACCGGAAGGCAGAGGGTCTGGGAAAGGTGTAGGGCATATCCCCCCCAAAATAGTTAAGAAGGAAAAATAATCTGCTCCCTTGTCAACCAGCATTTCTGGGGCCTCTAAGGATTTCGGTTGTCGCGTGTGACCTTGGTTGGGAATGCCCAGTTCTGAGGAATTGTCATTTGATTCCATTGAACAATTACTTTTCCCAGCCTTTCTGCAAATCACTGTGTCTGCGGGGGACCGCGCTGTGGCCAGGGGGCTGCAGTGAGGCTGCTGGTGGGCTTTCAGAGAGGAGCTGCGGCAGCCAGCTCCTTGCCCTTTCTCGTGCCTTAACTCTAGGCAAGGTGGCCGGGGCGCCCTTGGCCACGGAGTGCCGTCTGCGATGGAAGCTTCATCTGCAGAGGGTGAGACAGGGAGAAAGGAGGCCCCGGGGCCGGAACCAGCGGGCCCGCAGCACACCACCCAGCTGTCCTACGTAGGTACTGTGACTTGGGGTTTCCGCTGTGTGCAGCTGAATCTCATCCGACCCACTGTGAGAGCCAAATTTCCATCAAGCCAAAGGAGGCAGAGGGGGAGGGGTAATAGCCTTTAGACTTCCCAGGCCCCTTGGTTTCAACATCCAGGCGAGAGGAGCAGACGGTGGGATCAACACTGAACCTCCGGAACCGAGGGCGCCGGGACAGACTTCTTTAGACTTGGGCCGTTGCTTTCCCAGGTTAGTTCATCTTCACAACCACTCCGGGGGGAGCTATTATTGTCCGCACCTCACAGGAAGGGCCTCTCTGGCAGGACAAATGGCTGCAGGTCCAGCTCAGGCCCACCACACAGCAGGGCCTCAGCCACCGTCCTGGTATCTATGACCCAGGATGGGAGCTGTGTCCCTCCCTGCCAGGAGCCCTACCTCTGCTGCAGGTAAGAACTCGGTGACTTGCCCAGGTTAGGGGGATGGTGGGTGGAGAAAAGATTTTTCAGGCTCAGCCCACTGACCTCTATGGAAATCCTGTCGGGAAGCCTGACATCCCTTGTGTTAGTTGAAGATATTTAAGATAGAAGGTAGCCCTGACCAGTGTGGCTCCGTTGGTCGGGAGCCACCTTGCAAGGTGAAAGGTCGCTGTTTCAATTCCCAGTGTGCGTGTGTGCCTGGGTTGCGGGCCCTGTCCCCAGCTGGGGGTGTGCAAGAGGCAGTCAATCAATGTTTCTCTCTCACAATGACGTTTCTCTCCCCCTCTTGCCCTCTCTCTAAAAATAAATAAATAAATAAATAAATAAATAAATAAATAAATAAATAAATAATCTTTTTCCAAAAGAAGATAAATGTTTAAAATCGTGAGAAAGATGAATATTTGACAGGATTATAAAACAATTTACCATAGGGTACCTATACATGCTTAACTTATATAAAGCCAAATAGATTTTGTCACTTTGCGGGTTTTACCGTAAAGAAATGTTTCACCTGCTTATTCACTGTGTGTGTAAGAAAGAAAGCTTGTGGGTGCAAACAGGGGTGAGGGGAAGTGTGCTGTTACCTGCTTCCTGATTTTCTAAAATGAACAGGTATTGCTCTTGTAAAAGAAAAAATGTAAACGATGTCTTTCATTCGTCAAAAAATAAATAAACGGAGCCACTTGAAGATTGAGTGGCAGCCGCTGTGCGGGACGTAGGTCCCAACCCTTTGAAGGGTGCGAACAGGGCAGAATCGCCTTTGCGCCCTGGGAAACCCTCTGCAGAACCAACCCGAAGGCGGTTACTGTTCCGATAACTGACTGGGCTGCAAACCGAAAACACTGTGTAGAATCGTCACCCATTACCTACACCAGGAGAAATGCCCTCCTTCCGTGGCTCTGATTGTTCCCCTTTCCCAGTCTCACAGACACCCACTGCCTTTGTCTCCTAATCCCGACATTATTTGGGTCTCTGCCTGAATCGTGATTCCCAAATAGCTCTTCATTTTGTTACTGCAAAGGGGGCCGGGCCCCAGGCATGTCTGTCCCGGGTTGGCTTGTGGTGTGTGGGTCCTTGACCTTGTGAAGGGAAGATCAGGAGTCCATTGTGCATTTTATAACAGGAGTCCAGGTGACTATGAGGGCATGTTTATGAGAGCTGGGGACAGTGACACAAGGGAGGGCCTCAGAAGGAAGGCGCAACAGGGAAGAGCTTAGGCGGGGCTGCCTGGTTCTCCAGAAACGTTATAGGGAAGAAGTGAGCCTGGCGGGCACCCCAAGATCCAAAAATTATAAAGTCTTTTTCTTGATCTTTGAGATTTTTAAGAGCTTTGGAGTTTTGCAGAATAATTCCTGAAATAGCTCAAAGAAAATTGCTCTTTATAAAAGGGAGAAGTTAAACTAATTAGGCTTACTTGGTATGTTAAATTCTATGGGAAGCATTGTCAAATAAATTATGTTAAACCTTTGACTATATTTATATAGCTATGTTATAAATATAAATGCAAAAATGTTTACATTCCGTGTCTCTGAAAATTATAAACACTCTCAGGTCTTTGAAATGTAAATACTCAAAACATTGTCCACAGAAACTAAAAGGGGAAAAGCAGCCTTTTAAAAGCACAAACTGCTGCGTAAGCTCCCTTACCAAAATTAAATACGGCTTTTACAAAACCACTGGAAAATAGTAAGAATAAAGCAAAATGACTGCATATGAAAAGCAAATGTGTTTTCAGAGGAGGAAGTTATGAGACATGGAACTGAAGGATTCTGGGGAGCCTGGCCTGGGATCCCGCCCCAGTCACACAACAAATGAGACCCCATCAGACCCCTTTGCCCTGGTAAAGGGGGAGGGCAAAGGCTGAGAGCCTCCTGCAGGCTCTTGGGGAGGGTGGAGGGAGGGTGGAGCCGGGAGCAAGGGGAGAATGGCAGGAAGTAGTGAAGGACTGTGGTTCTGGGAAGAGGCAGCAGTGCCAAGGCCAAGGTGACGGAGTGGTGGGCTGGCCCTGGCTGCTGCTGAGACCTTCCACCTACGGGGACTTGCAGCCGGCACAGGCCGTGCCAGTCAGTCACAGGGGTTTCTGTCAGGGCCCACCCGGCCCGGGAGCTGGAGGGGCTGGTGAGCTATGGAATTGCCTTTAAACCTTCCGATTCGAGGTTAACAGAATTCTGTAGCGTTTAATGCCACGGTACTTTTCTCTTTGGTGTTTCTGCTTGCCTCATTTGCAAAGGACAATCCTGGGCTTTAAGGGGCACCAGCCCTGCACACGGGAAGCAAACCTGAAGAAGCTCTGAAATGTGCACGTGGCCTCTCTGGGGACCCACATCCAAGGGAAGGGAAACAGGACACAGGGACCCCTGAGGAGACCGGCTGTGTCTCTGAGAGCCATTCCCCTCTGCAGCCTATCTGGGAGGGCTGCCCCTGCAGCCCTGAAGGCCACCTGCTGCTTGGCCTGGAAGTCCTGCCCCACCCACCACCCGGGGGCCTGAGGGAGGGGAGGCCAGAGTCTGAGGGAGGCTGCCCTGGATGAAGGGGTCGAGGGGTAAAGGGTGGAAAGAGCAGTCCAGTATTAGGTGGTGGTTAACAGCATGGGTTCCATTCCATCCCCGGCTCTGCCCCAACCAAGCGTGACCTTGGGCAGCCTCTATTCTCGCTTGTAAAAGGACCTACTGCCCACAACTGCTATAAGGACTGAATAAGTTTACACTAATGGTGGAGCATTGGGAGCAGTGCACTTAGAGAGCGGTTGTTTCATCAGTGCAGAGCGGCTGAGAACGTGGAGACACTCGCGAGGCCCCTTTCCCTGTCTACAAATCACAGGTCATGTCCACAGCCCTGCCCCAAAGTTGGGTTGAACAGTCCACCCAAGGAGCAGGTGGGAAGACCAAAAATCTGAAAGGTGGAATTGAACATCCGACTTTGGTTCCCTGGGCACACCTAGAACTCCTGAGCCCAGGAGAGGGGCCTGAGCAGCTCCTTTGGGGACTGGTGACCCTGCCCCAAAAAGACCGACCCATCTGGTGTGAGCTGCAGGGTGGCTTCAGTCGACAAGCCACCCAGCCTGGCGTTTTCAAACCCGCTGATGAAATCGAGTGGGCAGGTCCACATGCAGCACTCCAATGCCATGGGTGACTAGTTTCAGAAACGTTTGCCAGCACGTGTTCTAAGCGGTGAGTGAACGACATCCGCATCGCGTTGCGGTGCGGGCATACCCAGGGATCCGCTCTGCAGCTCGGAGCGCAGGGCGGGGTGCTGCACCATGCCCCGAAGTGCCCCGAAGTGCCGCCTGCGCCAGCAGAGGGCACCCTGCACACAGCACCTACTCCTTCAGCAACTGCCCTCCCCCCACTGCCCACTCCAGTTCTCTGGGTGCACATGGCCTTAGCGGGTGTCGCCTTGGACCCTGCCCACCTTCTAGCCCGCACTTCGTTTCACACCAGACCCCTCCTCGGCTCTCCCGGGCCTGGCCCCATCCCCCACCCTCCTCTTCGGGTAACTGCTTCCCTTCCTTCTACCTACCACTTCCTCCTGCCCCCAGCCCTTCCGGCCGTTTTCGCTCTCCCCTCTTTTCTATTTCCACCTTTCACCTCCTTCCCCCTCCTTGTCTTTTCCAAAACACTTGCTACATACACACACAGTGTTTTTCAGACAATTCGGCCTTTTATTTTTGAAAATAGTTCTGCAGCTTCAACTTTCTTCCACAAACTGAGGTCAGGCAAGACACAAAAACACAGACAGTGCTCCGAAACCCTCCACCTGCATCCCACAGCGACTGGACCCAGGTGTCAAGGGGGGGGGGCAGGGGCGGGGAGGGAGGCTGGGACATCCTGCCTCACTCCAGAGGCCTCTGGGAGCTGAATCCTCTGGCAGGAGCCTATGCAGCAGACCCCAGGGAGAAGGGACAAGGGGCCGGTCTCTCTTCCTCCAGGCCAGCCCAGAACCTGCCTAGAGCGACAGGAAAGGGATCAGCTTTTAGAAAGGCCAGGGCCCGGGATCAGGGCAGAGTCTGTGTCTTTGCGGCTGGACAAGGGAGGGCACCCCAGCACACCAAGGCTCCCCCCCACTGCTAGGGGCAAGCTGAGGCGCCATCTTGCTTTTCCCCTTCAACTTCTCCTCCAAGAACCCCGAACGGGGGACAGAAGAGCCATGAGAACGCCAAAGACCCGGAGAGAGGAAGAGGGAACACAGGCAGGAGGCAGAGGCCCCGACAACCCAGCAGCTCCATCCAGACCCTGATGATAAAACCCCTTTGGTTAGTCTGATTTTGGCCACAAGTATGTCCCCTTCTCACAAAACCCAGCTCCCCCTCCAATGGGGGGGGGGGCAGGTCAGGTACAAGAGGGGCTCATACCCTGGCTGTAAGAGCCAGCACCGGGAAGAGAGGCCTCATCGACAGCACTGAGGCTGCCAATCTCTGCAGAGGCCCGGGAGGATGACACCTGGTGCACAGACGCCAGGGGCCCCAGTGAGCCCAAGTCCCTCCCAATGACAGTGACTTCCTGCGCAGTGCCCCCCAAACACTGCGGAAGTTTCCCTGATTTGACCATTTTGAGACTAGAATAATCCTCACCTTGTCATCTGTGCACTCGAATGCCACTCAAGAAATTTAAAAAAATAATAATAAAAAGATAAATGGACCCAAGAGAGAAACAGAGAGGACGATGCAGACCCCTGGTGGGATCTGTGGTCCTCTCAGCACGGGAGGCGGCAACGACAGGGCGGGGAGGGACAGGCAGGCAGCTAATTCCAGCTGGGATCGTAGCCGCCCCAGGCCTCCGGGGGCGCCAGGTGGACACGGCGGCCCCGGAACAGAAAGCTGACGATGCCCCTGTAGCCTGCCCTCGGGACCCCCGACTTGAGGTCGTCCATGACTCCCAGGGCCTTGGCGAACGCTTTGAAGCTGTCCCTGCCAGTGTACTGCACCCGCACCTCCCCCAGCTCGTTCTGCTCATTGGTCCTCACTTTCTCCACCTGCAGGAGGGGGGCACCATAGACCCGGGCCAGGAAGTCCCTGTCGTAGGCCTCCTGCCGCAGGTAGGACAGGTCCAGCTGGGTGAAGGGCACAAAGTGCTGGTTCAGCTTGATGAACTTGAGATGCTGGTCAAAGAACTGCCCGTGGCTCACACCCTTCCGGCCAAAGGTCATGGTTCTGGAGATCTCGGGTCGCACACAGGCCCGGCCCTGCCGCTGCTCCGGCCGCCGCATCCAGTCGTCCCAGAAAGCCTTGGGCCACTTGGGCTCCAGCTCGGCCCACAGCTCGGCCAGCAGCAGCCAGCCCAGGCCAGGGAAGAAGTCAGTGCGGTAGAGCAGCTCCGGCTTGCTTGCGTCCACCATCTGCTCTTTGCCGTTGTCATTCCAAGCCGACACGCACCAGAGGGAGGGGTCGGCCTTCAGCAGCGGGTAAGTGGCCTGGAAGTACTCGAAGAAGTCCGGGGCCACCTCCAAGTCATCCTCCACCACCACCACCGCAGGGAACTTGAACTTGTGGAAGACCTGGCCCAGAGCCCAGCGGTAGTGGCGAGCGATCTTGTAGTAGCCCTGGAACTTGCGGTGGTCGGGTGGCACTGGGATGGTGCTCAGGTCCGGCTGTCGGATGTGCGTGAGGGCACTGCCGTAGGAGGCGATCACCTGAGCCGTCTCCTCGTGCCCGCAGTCCTGGCTGACAATGATGGGGAAGTGCTCGGCCGAGGGCCGATAGTGCAACAGCTTGTCCAAGCAGCGCCGGACAGTGCTGCGGTCACAGGCGATGACCAGGATGGGGATCACGGCTGGCGGTGAGGTCGCATGCGCGCGGGGCGGCACCGGGGGTACCGCAGTGGGCGCCCTCCACCGCTGGCCGCGCCGCACATGGTAGTCCCAGATCTGCTGCAGCAGCCCCCGCTGCCGCTCCAGCTCTGTCTCGGCGTCCTGGGCCAGGCGGATCACCTCACGAGTGAGCCCCGCGGGGTCGTCATCCAGCGCGCCTTCAGAGGGCAGCTTGCTGGGCACAGGGCGGGTCCAGAAGAAGAGCAGCAGCAGGGCGTTCCAGGCCACAAAGAGGACGGCGCCCCACAGAGCGAGCCCTGCGGACTGCTTCTTCAGCATCCTGGCCCCCGAGGGGGAGGTGCCAGGGGGGCTCCAAGCTGCCCTGCTGGCCGGGCTCACTCTGCGCAGTTCTAGGGGTGTCCTCTGGGCTTTGGGATCAGGAAGCAGCCATGCATCTAGGAGAGAAGAAAGACAACCTTCATCAGGAAGGCGTGGGGATGCAGTGGGGGTGCAGCAGTGGGGGGGGGAAGCAGGAAGAAGCTGCCCTCCCCCAATCTGGGCGGTCATCTGAGTGGGAGGGGGACGGGCAATCAATGCACCTCCCATCCCGAAGTGAGTTCGGGAGTCCTCAGAAAACCAGTATGTACTTAAAGGGGAAGGCCAGTGACGCCGCTGAAAGAGAGGGAGCAAAGGAACTCCACCTCCCCTTTACCCCTGACCGACTTCACTTCCCCTTTTCTAGCCAAAGCTGGGGGTGGGGGTGGGCCCAGATGAGACCCTCCGTCTCCCACCATCAAATCAAACTGCTCAAAGGTTACTGAATTAAAAACTCAAATATCACACTTCAGGCCCGAAGCCAGCACCTTACCCGGTGAGGAAGCACCAGAGGTGTTCCCACAGCGCCCTCTGTGCGAATGGGGCAAAGCCGAGAGCCCGCCGTCTACACGGAGCAGTCAGCCGGTGCAACCAGGACGCAGAGGGTGCCTGAAGGGAGGAGCGGGACAGGGGCAGACTGTCCCTGCTCGCTGACTCGGGGAGAATAAATCCACGTGGGAATTCTGAGAGAGCGAATGGTCAAACACAACACAATCAATCCGCTGACTGAGGTGGCAGGACCTAAGAATTAACCTGCAAAGATCAACAGCCCTCAAAACCACAAATGGCGCATTAGAAAAACTAGATGAGAAAACCCTATTCCGATCATCAGGAAAACGGTAAACTGTTTAGGCATAAACCTAACAAGAAATATTCAAAGCCCCTGTGAACAAAACTGTAATTCCTAAAAGACGTGAAAGACTTAAAAACCCCTTGTTCTTCTGTTAGGACATCTCAGCTCAACAAAACCTCTCTGTGAAAACACCTTTTCACGAAGCTGGACAAACTGACACCGAGGGGCACGTGAACAAACATGCCTGCACGAAGATGCACGAAAGTAATCAAAACAAGTGGAGGAACTAGCACGATCACACGTTAAAACATTACGCGTTACAAAGCCTCCGCAGTTAAAACTGCGTGGCGCCGGCGCAGAAATAAACAAGCGCAGAAATAAACAGGCCGTTCACTGGACTAGAATTTGAAACTCCAGAAATAGACCCGGCTACGCGGAAGTATCTCATATATGGTAAAGGTAATGTCTAGAAATCCTGGGGCGAGATGTTGCCTTAGCAATAGTGTTAAAACAGCTGTCTGTTTGGAAAAAATAAATAAAATTCTATCTGTATGCAAGAGTAGCTTCTAAGTGGCTCAGGGATCAAAATATAAAAAACTAAAACCATACAAGTGCTGGAAGAAACCAAGGGTCAAACCCTCTCTAACCCAGGGATAGGGGAGGACTTTCAAAACACACTCAAGATCAGGATCCAGTGACATAAAATACTTCTCCGTTTCTCTGGGGTGTACATCTAGAAGTGGATTTGCTAAAAACACATAAGCCAAGTAAAAAGTCAAGTGACAAGCTGGGAGAGAGTATTTGGAACATAAATCACAAATAAAGAGTTAATACCCTATAGACAAAGAACTTTTTAAAAGGGGGCAAAAAAGGGACAAAAGGCCAAAAGTCCTTTTCTAAAAAACAAGGGAAAGACTAAAATGGCCCTTAGACATATGAAAAGATGTTCCACTTCACTCATGAGAACAATGTAAATTAAAACCATTACCCAGCAGACTGATAAAAATGCAAAAACTGGTCCTTCCATTCTCTTCACAGCAGCCATCGAAGAAAGGTTCTTAATTTTTTAAAATATTTATTTATTTTTAGAGAGAGGGGAAGGGAAGGAGAAAGAGTGGGAGAGAAACATCAGTGTGTGGTTGCCTGTCATGTGTCCCCTACTGGGGACCTGGCCTGTAACCCAGGCATGTGCCCTGACTGGGAATTGAACCAGCAACCCTTTGCTTCACAGGCCCGTGCTCAATCCACTGAGCTAAAGGTTCTTAATTTTGAGGACATTCAATTACCATGGGTTTTTTTCTTTTATGAATTATGCACTGAATCTAAAAAACCTTTGCCTAAGCCAAAATCAGAAAGATTTTTGTTTTCTTTTTTTTAAATCTTCACTCGAGGATATGTTTATTGATTTGAGAGAGAGAAATATCAACGTGAGAGAGAAACAGCTACTGATCGCCTCTTGTACATATCTGAATCAGGTACTGAATCGGCAACCCAGGTACGCGCCCTGACCAGGGATCAGCCCAAACCTGTTTTGGGGGTACAAGACGACGCTCCGACTGAGCCACCCGGCCAGAGCCCTGTTTGCTTTTCTAATGTTCTAGTTTTAGGTTTAACATCAGAAGTTTATCATTCATTTTGAGTTAATTTTTGTATTTGGTGTGAGGTATGGAACAAATGTCCTTTCATAGTTTGTCAAAACGCCAAATAGACAGCACAGGACCCAGCAAATCCGCTCCTAGATAAACACTCCAGAGAAATGAAAACACGTGCCCATACAAAAACCTACACGGAAAGTTTACAGCAGCTTTACCCACAATTGCCAAAATCTGGAAACGACCCCAAGGTCCACTGACGGGGAATACGAACAACCAGCTGAGACCTGCCCACAGAAGCGAGTAATGCCCGGCAGTGAGAAGAACCTGCTGGTGCGTGTACACAGGACACCTGGACGCATCTCAAGTCAGCAGGACGTGAAAGGCCAAGAGAAAGCACACGCAGTGCGATTCCACTCACACACATCTCAGGAAAACACAAAGTAGCCCACAGTGACAGAAAGCATGTCAGCCTGGGGTGGGCTGGCGAGGAGGACAGCCGGGCGACCCGACAGAGGGGCCTGAGAAACTTCGGGGGGCTGTTTTCATGGGCAAATCCCTATGTCCAGACTCACCACATGGTACTTTTTAAATACAAAACATCTTACTTCTCGGCCTTTTGGTTAAGGTCAAGTGTAAGTACGTCCCATTTACTGTTTGTCAGTTATACCTCAACGAAACTGTTTTCTGTGAAGACATTACTGGGTCCAGTGACAAACCACAATGCGGGCTCGGCAGACACGGAGTTTGTTCTTGCATTATCTGTGAATTACTGCATCATTTTCCAACAAGGCACCACAAACCTCCTTTGGCCTGCCCCGTGCAGATAGTTGAGTGTCACTGGTGCCCAGCCGCCGGCCACTTGCGGCGTGTATGGGAACACACGACCCTGCGCTGACGTGGGCTGAGGCAGTCAGGGTGGGGGCCGTGAGAGATGGTCCAGAACCCAAACGGCTCGGGTCAAAACCCTGGTGTGTGTGCACATGAAGAGAGTGCACAAGGAGCCAACCGTTAACGAGAAAGGAATCTCTAGTAAAGGACAGGCGTGTCCTTACACCGTTTTGATTCTTGCTTTTTTTCTTTGATTGCTGGAAGACCTGCTGGCTGCCAGGCTCTGGGAAGGGGCTGGGCCACTCGGCCAACAAGGCATAGCAAGGGCCCGCCACTCCCTCCAACTCCCGGACAACTGTCATTCCTGACTGTGCGATCCTCTCTCTGGACTTCCTGCCTCTGGTCTCGCCCCCCCTGTTTGCCCAAGACCTTCAGGTACATGCCCCCTATGCCAGCTGCACTGCCTCACAGCCCAGTCTCCAATCCCCACCGTGGCCTTGGTCCCAGATGCAGTGTCTGCACTCCTGGGCTCACAAGCTGGCAGACACGCTCTGTCCCCTCCTGTGGAGACCCGGCACCTGCGGACACCACCACCTGGCTTTCCTCCCAGATGCAGTCCACCATCTACAGCCTACAGCTCTTCTCAGAACCTGGAGTCCGTTCCCGTTTTCCGGTGTCACTGACTTGCCACTTTATCAGTGATCACACACTATCCAGGGCTCCCTGGAAGGAAGACCTGTGGGTTCCAGGATCTTCCACCCCTCCTGCAGGATGCAGTCCCTGTTAGGACGCTCAGCAAGCCATCTCCCGAGGGCCTCTCTGGGGCTGGCATTTCCGCAAGTCTCGGAACACAGGAGAGGCCACACCACAGGAGAGGCCAAGGCCACGGTGGGGATTGGAGACTGGGCTGTGAGGCAGTGCAGCTGGCATAGGGGGCATGTACCTGAAGGTCTTGGGCAAACAGGGGGGGCGAGACCAGAGGCAGGAAGTCCAGAGAGAGGATCGCACAGCCGGGCCTCCGCCCTGCCCTCGCACTCAGGCCCTTGTTCTCCAGCCCTGACCCTTTGTGACCCTTTTCAGTAAAGTCCCTAACAGAACTTGTTCCTCTTGCCATAAAGGAATGTGACACACCCACCCCCAGGCCCCGTAGCTTCTCCACTCAGCCCCTCCCCCGTCCCAAGGCTGTATTCCCCAGAGCCAGTCCCCGCCCAGTCTTTGCAGTCCCCGATACGCACACGCAGGAGTGCATGCTCTCTGGTGGCTGGCTGTGCCCAAGAGAGGCAAGAAGCAAGCCCAGAGGCCAGGGTGGGGCGGGTGGAGCCCACGTGCCCCTCCGGAGTGGGACAGGGAGGAAGGAGGGCAAGCCAGACAGCCTGGGGCACTGCTTGGCACTGCCTTACGTTTCTTTACATCTCTGGGACTCAGCTTTCTCAGGTCATCAAATACCTCACGGGGTTGCTGTGAGGACTGGGTGAGGTGACCCGAGTCAGACATTCAGAAAGAACAGTGCCAGGCATGTGACAACAGAAACACCAGCCAGTCACTCATTTGTCCCCTTTCTGTTGGCTGTCCCTGCTCCACTCCACAGGATTCCTTCCAGGCCCCAAATACACATGCCTGCCTTAGGGCCCTTGCACAGCCGCATGCCTGCTGCACTGACGCCCGTCTCAGGCCTGGGCGAGGTCCACCTGTCCTTCGAACTAGCGGCACCCGCACCTCTTGCTCAACCCAACATCTGTTGAACCTCCTCTAGGCTGCCAGCTCCTTGAGGACGGGGACCAGAGGCCCCAGCAGGTCCAGCTGCTGTGCTGGGAGGTTGGCCTGTGACCTAAAACCTGGCTTTGGTGCAGACGCCACACCCCCA